CGGCGAACCGCGCAGCTGCCCGCGAAATTCGCGAGGCCCCGAGTGCTGAGCCACCGCGCCGCCCCAAGGTGCAGCGCGCGGTCGCGCTCACGCTTCAGCGGGCCTCCCTCTCATCGCCCTTCACAGTCTCGCTCGAGAAGCGTATCGCAGCCTGGGGCGTTTCTTAGCCGCCTCCGCCCCCAGAGCTTGCTACGCGATGCGCTGATCTCACGAATGCCATGCGCGCCGTCCGCCCGAGCTGGTGCTGGGCGGTACATAAGACACCCGCAGGTGGATGCTCGACGACCCACCGCATGCACGCTCTCCTGCAGAAGTCGTGTGTGTTCGGGCGCCCACCAGCGCCCGATTCATTCCCTCACTACCTCTCCTGCTCGGTCCTCCTGAGCCTCCTCTGGTCCCCCGACTCGCCCCCCCTCCACAGCACGCTTACACCCTGGGGCATGGGCCCCGACGCAGCCTATCCGTCTGAACCCGCGAACGAGCTCTCGTTAACGTGGACGATTCAGCGGATTGCGCTCGCCTTTCACCTCTTTAACAAAATGAGGCACCCCTCGCCGACCCCAGCTACGACAGCTGAAGGGTTGAGCGCCGTCAAAGCATTGCTCTGGAAGTAGACGCGCGGTAGACGGACAGGAGCGGACAGACTTCTTGCCCTCGTCTCGCTTCTTGCCCGCTTGCCCTCGTCTCTTCCTCTCTGGGTACGTGCACTCCTCCTCCTCCTCCTCCTCCTCCTCCTCCTCCTCCTCCTCCTCCTCCTCCTCCTACCGGGTCGCCTCCTTTCTCCTTCAGCCCTTTTCCCCCCGTCCCCCCTCACCTTCTTCACCTCCGATGTCTATCTGTCCGTCTGTCTGTCCTGTCCGTCTGTGTGCCTGCCTGTGTGTCTGCCTGCCCGCCTGCCTGCCTGCCTGCCTGTCTGCCTGCCCGCCTGCCTGCTCGCCTGCCTATCTGCCTGCCTGCCTGCCTGTCTGTCTGCCTGCCTTTTCTGCCTGTCTGCCTGCTTGCCTGCTGTCCGTCTCTCTCTCTCTCTCTCTCTCTCTTTTCTCTCTCTCTTTCTCTCTCTTTCTCTCTCTCTCTCTCTCTCTCTTTTTCTGTCTGTCCCTCTCTCTCTCTCTCTCTCTCTTTTTTCTGTTTATCATTCCTCCTCCTTCCCCCGTCTTCCGTCTTCCCCCGTCTTCTCCCCACCGCTAAATTGGACGGTAGGGCGGACTGGGCGATTCGCAGAACATCTCTTCCAGAAACATATCCCAGGAGCGTAGCCTGGTCCAGGCATGTCTGGGGGAATGCAGTGACACAAAGAGACGGCAAGAGGGGGAGTTGCATGGTATCACTCTCACGCTCCATCGGTTTTTTGATTGTAGAATTTGTAGGGACTTTTGTAGGGTCCGCGCAAAGGCCTCCTCCTCGTGGCCCTGTCGACGGAGGAGTGGAAAGAGGAGGAGGAGGATGATGAGGAAGGAGAATTTTGAGAGGAAGGAGGGAGGATGCTGCTGATGACGAAGAGGAACGCAAAGAGGCGGAAGAGGATGAGGGGAGGGCGAGCGGAAAGGAAGGGGGATATGAAGGAGCACCTTCCTTTTTCCCCAGTTGGGCTTTCCTAAGGGTTCTTATTTGGTTGCAGGTTGGTGCCTTGGATTCTTACGTTGCCCGTTGCTCGGAGGTTCCCCGGGCTCTTCGGGTTCCCCGGGTTCCTCGCCCTTGGTGCCTCCGATTCTTACGCTGCCCGTTGTTCAGATGTTCCCCTGGTTCCTCGGGTTCCCTGGGTTTCCCGCCCCCAGTGCCTCCTATTGTTACTTTGCCCGTTCCTCGGAGGTTGTCCGGGTTCCCTGGGATCCTCGGGTTCCCCGGGTTCCCCGGGTTCCCCGGGATCCTCGGGTTCCCCGGTTTCCCCGGGTTCCCTGGGTTCCTCGGGTTTCCCAGGATCCCCGGGTTCCCCAGGTTTGTCGCGGGTTCCTTGGGTTCCTCCGGTTCCCTGGTCTTGTCCATTGCTTGGGTTCTTCGGGTTCCCTGTTTCTTGTTTGGGTTCCTCGGGTTCCCTGGCGTCTTGTTCCTCGGATTGTCCAGGTTCCCCGGTCTTGTTAATTGCCTGGGTTCCTGGCGTTCCCAGGTCTTGTTCCTCGGGTTCCCCGGCATTGCAAAGCAATGCCAAGACAAGCAACGCCAAACAATGCAGAGCAATGCCAATCTACGCAATGCAATGCCACGCAATGCCAACCAGGGCCTATCAATGCTCAGCAAGTGCTAAGCAATGCCAAGCAACGCCAAGCAACGCAAAGCAATGCAAGGCAATGCGAAGCAATGCGAAGCAATTCCAAGCAATGCGCCCATGCAATAGGAAGTTTCCCCCTACTTGGGGTCGCGCTGGGTTCATCAAATTCTGGTAAATCCCAGGAGCGAGGATGCCGAGAATGACTTGGGAGGATGCAGCAGGGAAGAGGAGGAGGAGGAGCAGGATGCTGCTGCTGCTGATGATGCTGATGCTGATGATGATAATGCTGATGATGATGATGATGATGATGATGATGATGATGATGATGATGGTGATGATGATGATGATGATGATGATGATGATGATGATGCTGATGCTGATGCTGATGCTGATGCTGATGTTGATGCTGACGATGAGGCGGAGGAGGAAGAGGAGGAGGAGGAGGAGGAGGAGGAGAAGGATAATGAGGAACAGGCGGAGGAGGGGTACGTGAGAGGAAGACGGCGAGGACGACGAAGACGACAATGACAGGGATCAGTCGTAAATGCCTTCTGGGGTCTTTCGCTGAAGTATGGAGCCTCTTGGAGATTTCTCGGGGCTACCTTGGAGCCCTCTTGGAGATTTCTCGGGGCTACCTTGGAGCCCTCTTGGGTCTATTTGGGGAACTTTTGGGGCCCTTTGGGGAGTCCCTTGGGGCCCTCTTGGGTGTGCATTGGGGATCCTCTTGGAGCAACCCTAGAGGCCATCGATCAACAAGGTGTGGGTATTCGATTTCCCCCCCTTTTATCCCCCCATCGCTGTTCAGGACCGTGCTGTGATGCTTTTGGTGGTCTTTGGGACCCTCTTGCAACCCTGGTGGGCCCAGTCTGGGGTTCTCTTGGGCTACCTCGGGGCCACCTTCTTGAGATGCGAAGAGGCGATGCGCTCCAACACATTGAACACCCTCAGGTATTTCAGGTTTTTGGGCGTCTTTTGTCCCCTAGGGGGCATCCCTGGGAGGCTTCGAAGCGTTTCGGGGCCGTCTTGGAGGCATCGCATGGTCTCCTGGAAGCATGTTGGGGGACATGCTGGTCAAACTCGGGCTTTCCTGCGTCATATTGGAGGCTATATTGGGCTATCTGGTGTCATCTTGGGGCCATCTTAGGCCACCTTGGACGCTCTGCCCTCCCCTCCGTGTCAGACTTGAGGTCGGGGGTAGGGCCGGGGGTCAAGGCTGCCTCGCCCACCCCTGCCCGCCCTCGCACCATGTTCGCAGCAGCCGAGACTCAGCAAAGGCAGAGGTCGCCATCGGAAGGAGAGTCATCGGAAACAGGTCCAGACGCCAGGTGCGCGACGCTCTCGAGGTGTGCCGCGCGTGCCAGGTGCGCCACGCACATCAGGCGCACCCAGTGAACCAGGCGCCCAAGCGCGTGGCGGGCGCGCTTGGTGTGCTACCCGCGCCACGTGTGCCACATTCACATTGCTCCAGTCGCGCCCCCGTGCTCGGATGAGAGCCCAACGCTATGCTCCAGGCGACGCGCACACATGGGGCAGTATGTCGACACCCCACCATCCCTACCAACAACATGTGACACTGGCAGCGGGTTGGTCGGCATAGTATGCGTGGACCCGCAGTCAGGTCGCACTTGCTTTGGATGTGGAAGGCGGGCCAGCGCACAGCTGACGAATACGATCCCCCCCCCGTCATCCTCGTCAAAAGCCAGTGCAGAGGGATCGTGCGGTGCCCACCCTCGTCAGCAATATCTTGCCGCCATATGCACGTTGAGTAGTTTTTGTTGGGTGGTGGCGGTGGGGGTGCTCGTTGGTCCTGGTCGGCGGTCTGTCGACCAGGGGAAGGGGGTGTTTGTTACCGTGGGGTCATTCGGTAAGGAACGTGCCCAGGAGGCTTCAGACCCTGAGGGATTTCTCTGATGAGTGCAGCTGTGATATCCGTGGCCGAGCCTCAGTGGGTGCTCCATGGGCTTCCAGACGGTGCATCCTCAGAGGGCTGGCGGGGCTACTGCAGGGACCCGCGAAGGGCCAGGGGTAATTTGGGTCGAGAGTGGCCTCGAGGGGAGTGATAACTAGGGGGGTTGGATGTCAAGGCCAGGGCCACGAGATCTCCTCAGATTTCATGGCGGCGCCTGCTCTTATTTCAATACCCTACACCCCCCCTGGGCCGTGCACGCGCCTCGGGCCATGCCTTGCGAACCCGTCTCTTGGACGCCCCCCTCCTGGACGCCCCCGATGGGGAGGCGGAGGGTGTGCTGCAGCATCGCTGATGCATCTTGGGTATGTGTTACCCGTTACCCCCTCCTCCTCGTCCTCCTCCTCCTCCTCCTCCTCCTCCCTCCTCCTCCTCCTCCTCCTCCTCCTCCTCCTCCTCCTCCTCCTCCTCCTCCTCCTCGTCCTCCTCCTCCACCTCCTCCTCCTCCTCCTCCTCCACCTCCTCCTCCTCCCCCTTCTTCTCCTTCTCCTTCTCCTCCTCCTCCTCCTCCTCCTCCTCCTCCTCTTCATCCTCCCTTCTGCCGCCCCTGGGGGGGATCAGCATCGGCCCGCCAGTCTCCAGTCTTGATGGCCCACTGGAATGGCCCTGCCAGCTGGGAGACCAGTAGGCTTCGCTCCAATGCCTTAAGAAATCTTAAGGCCAAGTGTCACCCGCGCACGGGGATTCCCCTAACTGGTGACACCCACGCGGCTTCGGAATAGCCGCGTTTTCCTCCAATCAATCGTGGTTCCCTCGTTTCCTCGGCGGAGTCATTCGAGTCGCGTGTCCCCCCTTCACCCCCCTCTCTCCTCCTCGACCACACAATGCCAGCCTCTTCTCCCCCCTCTTCTCCCCCCCCTCGTTCTGGAGCGCCCCGTGCACCTACGCCTGAGGGGGTCGCGGCCCCCCACCCCGCTGCGCTCTCGCCAGCGGCCGCGCCCCGGCGCGTGCCGCCGCGCCTCGCCGCGCCTCGCCGCGCCCCGCCTCTCCTCCTCGACGCCCCCCCCCCTCCACGCATGTGCTACCACGGGGCCCGTGCGCCGTCCGTGGGGGACGGACGCGCTCGGCGGCGCCCCGTGCGGCCCGGCACCGCCGCCTCGTTCTGGCAGCGCGGGCCGCCCGTGCCTCGCGCGCGCGCGCGGGGGGCCTCCGAGGGGGGGCCCCCGGCGACGCGGCGTGCTCGTGCCGCCAGGGCTCCGCCCTGGGGCGCGGCCCGGCGGATGTCTGCACAGGTGGCCGCCGCCCCCGGCCAGGCCCGTCCCTGTCGAGGAGGCTCTAGGCTTCCTAGATGGGGTCGGAGTAGATGGGGTCGGAGTAGATGGGGTCGGAGGATCGCGCCGCATCGCCGATGCATTGCCGATGCGGCTCGATGTGCAACCCGCTTTGCTTCACGTCAACGTCGCCGATGCATCCCCGACGTCGACGATGCGTCGCCGGTGCATCGCCGATGCATCGCCGATGTATCGGCGATGCGGCGTGATCCTCCGACCCCATCTACTCCGACCCCATCTAGGAGGCCTCTAGAGGCGCAATCAGGGGTTATGGCCAGGAGCTTTGGTGTGTGCGTGTACATCCCTTCTACCTATGAAATTCACAATGACAAAGCCCACGGGTCGCCGGCCTCCCCCCCATCGGAGTAGCCCCGCCGCATCCCAGGAAGCCCCCCAAAGCCCCCAAGAGGCACCCATGGAAGCGTCGCGACGGCCTTTGACCGATTCAAAACGCCCCCAGGACGACCCAAAGAGCTGCGAAATTTCGCACCAAGACGCCCTGGAAGACCCCAAGACGGCTCAAGAAGCTCCCAAGACGCCCCACGAGGCTCCCAAGATGCCTCCCCAAGAGAGCCCCGAGAGAGAAGTTCGCCACATTCCTTCGGGAAAATGTATACTTTTCGCTTCTTTGCTTCTCGGGCTCTCACTGCGTCCAAGAGGGCACTATAGCCCCCCCAGATCACCCCAGGACAGCTCAAGAGGCCCCAAACAGGAACCCAATACGTCCCAAGAAGGCCTCAAGACAGCCCAAGAGGCCCCCAAGACGGCCCAAGAAAAACCCTGGGACGGCCTCGAGAGGAGGGCCAAGAGAGAGTTCCCGACCTGACATTTCCAAGCCTTCGTTTCCAAGACGCCCCCAGGGACCCCAGAAAGCTTCCGGGAGGCCTTCAAGAAGCCACTAGAGGTCCGAGGGGACCCCAAGAGGCCCCCACAAATCTCCCGAGGGCTCCCAAGAGGCCCCACCCCAAACGCCCTCGAAGCCACGAACGCCGACGAGCCTCTCGTTGCGCATTCCTCCCCGGAGGCTCCCAAGAAGCCATACCCTGGACGCCCCGACGGCCACAAACGCTGACATGCTTCCCGTTGTGCATTTCTTAAGACTCCATCATGTCGGCGAACGGGTTCCCAGGGCCTATGGGTCGCGTGGGGTTCGAGTTCCCAGAGCCGATGGGTTGCGGGGGTCACGAGGAGACTAGGTACCAAGCGCCGCGCACCGCGCCTGACCCACCCGTCCCCTCGCTCCTTACCGCAATTGCAGGGTACTACATACCTGTCCATTCGCCCATCCAGAAACACGCATCCATGAGGCGTCTTGTTCTCACGCCTATGTAGAATACCGCTGAAGCTATGTCACGCAGGTCTGCGGTCACCGTGGGCGGCCGACAGCGTTACTCAGATGTGGTGGCCAACAACCCGACACTCATTCCCCCTGGCGCCACACTGTCGTCACAAATGGCCCTGTTCTCCCCCCCTCTCCCTTGCTTTCTCCTTCACTGCATCAATGGCCGGGTTCAGTCAGTGCGCTTTCCCAAACATGCGATATTGTCTTTCCCTCAATGCGGGCTCCCCCGGACCCCCCGAGATCCCAACTACCCCCCAAACTCCGGGGGCCTTCAAGGGGCAGGTGTGGCGACTAACACAACGTGTGCTACGTTCAGTGTCCGTTGCGCCACATTGTCGTCACAAGTGGCCTTGCTCTTCCCTTCTCCCTTGTTTAATCCTTCCCTGCATCAATGGCCGAGTTCCGTCAGTGCGGTTTCCCAGGCATGCGATGCAGTACATTTCTCAATGCGGCCCCCCCCCCCCCATGAACCTGGCTATCCCCCCGAGCTCCTGGGGCTTTCAGAGGGGCCCGACACCGCCAGAAATCGACCCGGGGCGAAACCTCAAGGGGAGCTGCAGACCTCGGGGACCCTCCGCCGAGACACGGCCAGGACGAACGGTCGCGTACAAAGCAGACAACGAAATGTGAGATACGGGACGGACCTGAGCATACACTGGACACCCCAAGAGGTCCCACAAGGCTTCCAGGGCCCCCCCGAGGATGCCCTCTAGGAGACCCCCAAGAGGCCTAAAAACAAATCAAAAGACGCCTCGCATTGCTTCCAAAGCACTTCCGAAGGACCTGGACTAGCCACACAAGCGCACTGCGCCTGAGATCCATTTACAGACGCAACCAAACAACAGGAATGCATAATGGCACCTTACCATCGATCTTCAAACCAGAACGCAGCCACTCCAACAACTCTGTTACATGACAAGCCCAGGCCAACATTACAAGCCCTCAAGAAGCGCCAGGAGGCCCCCTAGAGATCCCAAACCAACTCCCAAGAGGGCCCCCAAGAGGCTCCATACTGGACCACAAGACGACTCAGCTTGCCTCCAAGACACCTCCGAGAGACTTGCCACGGCATTCCAAGGTTCCATGATCATCGGTGACGTCATAGATATTCTACACCACGGCTCCCCGCACGACCGACGACGTCAACAAACACTTGCCCACGCAAGACATGCAGCACGAAACGCGACGAACTTTGCAATAACGCGCCGTAATCACGCCTCAGAGCCGTGTACCTATTAGCGTGAACCACGGGAGCGCAGACCGAGCAACACTGTTACCATCAGTGCCACCAGCGCGTCGCGACAGAAACGTTGCCACCCCTTGCCATTTGGGCGCCCGAGGGATCTACAGATAGTTTTTTTCCGGAACAAACCTCCCGTAGGGCCCCTTGGCACACGAGGCTCCTCCGGGGTCCCAAAACAGCCTCCAGGGAGGCCCCCCAGAGGCTCCAAACCCGACCACAATACGTACACACGCCAGGAGCCACGTACATACAACATCAAACCACATGAAAGCAGGACGGTACCTCCCCGTCTGACTTCAAACCAAAACGACGGCACACCATGATGTACATGTGCCCTCACCATAGTTTCTATAATAGATCAAAACGACTAGTTTGAACACAAGACGCATTGAAACAGGTGTCGTCACCATGCACCATGGGCTGCACAACGGTCGCCACCACCACAGTTCCGAATCAACACAAGTCATTGCACGTACAATATCCAGGCAACTGTCCATACCGCAGACATGCAGACCGGAACCGCTCTGTCGAATTACAAACGAAGACGCGACCACCTCATTACATGCCTCTGCCCATACCACTCGTCTCCCTCGTCCTCATCGTCGTCCTCGTCCTCCTCCAATTCTTATTCCTCCTCCTCCTTCTCCCCGCCTTGACGCCACGCGGTCCCAAGAGCGCCGTTAGAGGGAACCTCAGCCCGGTTTTTACCGAAAAACCGCCCTGCAGCCCCTGTGGGGACTGATACAGAAAACCAGCGACGAAATCGCCTTCTCCAGAAAACTCCTCCCCCTCCTCGTCCTCGTCGTCGTCCTCGTCCTCCTTCGCCTCCTCCTCCTTCTCCTCCTCCTCCTCCTCCTCCTCCGTAGCCATTTTGGCTCAAGATGATTTCGCCCCGTGGCAGAGCACGGAGACCCTTGGTCCAGGGACAGCTAAGGACACGCTTTCATATCCTCGCCTTCCTGCTGCCCAGCGGGTTGAGCTTCATATTTGGTGCTGCATCCGCCTGCAGACACCTTCACGCGCAATACGCAGAGGCTGGCGCGGGCCTCAGATCGCCGACGTCGCCGACATGGGTCCTCCCGGAGACTGCCTGGCCAGCGCTGCATCGACCCCTCGTGACGGAGCCACCGACCCAGTCAAGCGACAACAAGACCCATGGCATGACAGCGCATCCAAACTCGCAGTTCACGACCTTCCAGCACATGTTCGGAAGCAGCTCGAGGAGACCATGGCCGCCCAGATCAAAGACGCCACCGAAAAGTTCGAGGCCACAGCCAAGGCAGTCACAGCAAAGGCCAGCTCAGAGTTTCTTGCCTCACTCACGCAGATCACGTCCGACCTCAGCAGACGTCACGAAGCCACAGAACGAGATATCACCGCAGTCAAGCTCCGCACCAACGTCCTGGAAGAGCAGAACTTCGAACTCAAGGCCGCCGTCGCCAAGCTGGAGTCCATCATCACAGCAGCAGAAGCACGCGCTCCCGCCCTCAACCTGGACGGCTTGGGCAGCTGGGACCGCGACCCCGACATCACCACCTTCTGGTGCAGCAGCCCGCAGGAGTTCGGTCAGCAACACCTTGAAAAAGCTCTCACCCCATGGTTCCAGGCAGCCAACATCAAGAAGGACATGGTCATCTTCAACACGGTCGGCCCTTCCAAGCGCCACTCGTTTCAGGTCAGCGGTGGCACAGTGGTGGCGGAACCTCGGGCACAACGTCTTCATAATGCTTTGCGCAATGGAAAGGATTGGCGCACATTCACTCTCGATTCTGGTAATGATAAATACGTTCCTCTATATGTCTCCGCCGACAAGAGCCCGAAGGCCGTCCGCACGGAGGTCCAGATCAAGCGCCTCGCCAAGATCATGCAGAACGTCAAGCCAGACCTCGATGCTCGCTCACACAGAACCCTGGGCTACATATCGTGCCGCGGCGAAGCTATGGTTCGCCTTATTGTTGGCAGCAATGCTGATGTACCTACTGAGCTCCAGTGGTCACAGGCTGCCAACAGACATGGAATTTCCGAAGACGACCAGAAGCATATCGCTGCCGAGTTCATCAGCAACTTCGCATATCCCCTCTCCGCCGCACAGTGGCTTTAGCCTTCGGTGGAGCCCATGGCTCCTGAAGCCCTCTCAGGAGGGCCTGAACATCGCCTTCTGGAACGCGCAAGCGCTTCTTGGACACTCCGCCCTACGTCGCGCCGACAAACGACAGCAACTTTTACCATATTTTCGCCAACGAGCTCTTATCGCAGTGCAAGAGACTCATGGGGCCCTGGACGACCTCAAGCTGCTGGCGAACTCTACCCAGCATCGGTACAAAGCTTTTCACTCGCCCGTGATGGTTAACGGCGCGCCCGTGACTAA